CATCCTGGAATCTTCTAATTACTGGAATCTTCTAAAAATTTTTCGACAGGATCGCCACGTGGTATTATCTTCTGGGGTTAAGGTATATTTTGATGTTAATTAATAGAGAGTTCGAGTTAAGACTAATTTTATTTTCTATAACTACAATAATGTAAGTTTAGCTGAGTAAGAATAATGTATTGTCATTGCTCGGGCGACCGGATCTAGGATCTTTGACCCATCGCGTATTGCATTTATTGCAAAGTTGCAAATAGCGGTTAATCACAGTACACCTTCCCCTCTTACAAAGTAATAATTTTACAATATGGTTAAATGCTTATTTTAAAATGCTTATACATACTAAAATTTATTGTATGGTACCATTACAAATTAGTTTTAAATATTAATTTTTTCTATACCTGATTAACCCATTATTATGAACATTAACATGCTTATTTTCTATCAGAATTGTCGAATTAACGCCATTTTAACTGATAATTTTAAATGGACCTGTATACGGGGTATCTAATTTTTGCTTTTGACCTCTTTTTAACTTGACTAGGTCCTTAACAGAAAAATTAGATGGATTTGTACGTTTATCATAATTGAGTTTTCGTTTTTCTTTCGCTTTATTAATAAATTCTACTGCTCTTTTGTGAGCTTCATTCGATCTAAATTTAAGTTTATTTGCGTAATCATCTATGTTTTATATTGGTGATACTTTAGTGAAAATTTCATTTGGTAAATTTGCTATTTTACCAAAGACTAATTCGTAAGGTGAATAGTTTGTATCTGAGTGTGGTCTTATATTATATGCAAAAACATAGTATGGTAAAAATGTATCCCAATTAGAATTTGCTGAATTTGTAACAAGATATTCATTTAATACTTTATGATTTCTCTCTAAACTACCTAATGATTCATGGTGATACGCTGTTGATGTTAAATGTTTTATTTGAAAAAGTTTATTAATTGATTTTTTAAATTCATTTACATATTCGGTTCCTAAATATGTTTTTAAAATTTAAAAAATACCAAATTTCATCATAAATTCTTCAACTAAGGCTTTAGATATAGTTTTAACATCTTTACTTTCCAATGGAACTGCTTGTATAAATTTTGTCAAGTTACATTGTATAGTTAGAAAATATCTCATATTATTTTCAGTTATTTTCAATGGTCCTACGGTATCCACTGAAATTGATTCGAAACTTGTTGCAGGAGTTTATGTAATTACGAGAGGTTCAACACTATGCTTGATTATTTTACTTTTGTTAGAGGAAACTCGCCAAATATGGGCTACCTTTTTGTTTTTGTGTGATATATCGCAAAAAACATGTTTCATTTCACAAGCAAAAACGCTAGCCTATGCATACATTAGTTATTTATGAACTATTTCCTTGATTACTTTGATATGAAGAACTGTGGTTGTGATAATTTGATATATTGTTGAGGGTGCATTTTTGAGGAAATTTTAAATCGGTCCCAAATATGGGCTACTGTAAAAAATAACAAGAAAATCAATATTATAAGTCATAATAACAAGATAAATTATGAAAAATAGTATTTTATTAATTCAAATAGTTAACAAAAAGGGAGTTTATCTGCAAAAATCGCAAACGTAGTCAACTTTTTCAGCTCCTGCGCAATCGTTATGTGCCCACATGTTGCACATAAGACATTGAACCCATATTTCACCACGAAAATCACTTGAGAAAAGTGACTCACAAAACAGGCATTTTACATCACTATCTTCTGGTGGAATTTGGGAATCAGGAAACTCGTTATAGTCGCTGTCATCATCTGCGGCCACAAAACCAGTGTTAGAGTTCTCCTTCTCGGATTCGCTGCTCGAACTAGATGACTTCCTCTTGCGCCGCTTCTTTTGGGTAACAGATCCCTCCACATTAAGATTTTTCTTTACTTTTAAAACCTTCTTTCCTTTTACCCTTTCAAGAGATTGAGTCAATTCATCTTTGTACGGTGATGAGGTCACTACGGAGCATTTACTTGTCTTACGTCCACGATTAGAAGCTTTTTTCTTTAAAGAAGGTACAGGAGAAATTTCAAATGGTGATATAAATGATTTTTGTTTTTGTTGCGAAGGCGCAGTTTTCGATGTAGAAGCAGTCGAAAGAAAAGACATTTTAGTTTTCACACAAGACATCTTTTCATTTGAAATCTGTGTATTTGAATCTGATGAAATAGAAGTAGAAGGAGCTGAACAAGAATTGTTTTGATTTGTAGGGTGAAGGGGTGCTTTGTAAAACCTGCTTGTAGGAATGGACATTGGAATTACACCAGATGGTGTAGCAGATCTTGATGGAATCGGGGAGGAAAGCACTGCACAAGAATTATTTTGATCTGTTCCACATTCACTGTTTGAAGTATCCAGTGTCTGAAGGTCATGATCGATTGGGCAGCTCGATTTCTTTTCAGCTTCTATTTCGGCAGCAATAAAATCAGCTTCTGAAAAGAGGTTTTTGTTCAAGGGGTAAATCCCGGTGGCCTTAAAACCATTGACGGCAATTTCTCCAGTTTGAGATTTTAAATAGGCTTTGCCAAAGAGTTCTGCCACATCAAATGCAGTCAGTGCACGGTTATTGTGGCGTAGCCAGACTCTTACTTCCTCGCTGTAATAAGCTTTAAGAACACCCATAAATGTTTTATCTAGTGGTTGTAGCTTATGAGTGCAATGTGGAGGTAAAACAATTATAGTCACATGATTAGCTCGAGCCAGATCTATCAGATCTATATTACGTGTGTGGCTATAATGTCCGTCTAGAATCAGCAACACTGGGGACTCTTGTGTGGGCTTAACAATGTTAATAAAATGTTGGAACCACTTAGTGAAAATGTTAGTTTGAACCCAACCACTAGGATGTACTGCCATAATGGCACCCGGTGGAGCTCCCCTCATTAATTGTTGATTCTCGTTTTTGCGAGGAAATATCATCATTGGTGGAATAAATTGGCCAGAGGCACTCATTGACGCTATGAGAGTTATCAAAGAACCCCTTTCAGCAAAAGTTAAGGATGCAATTTGTCTCTTGCCTTTTCGTCCTATAACTTCTGCTATCTTATTTTGCACAACTGTAAGGCCTGTTTCATCAACATTAAATATGCGATCAGGAGGGTAAAATTTTCTCTCGTATTCCTTTTCCAAAATGTCAAAAAAGGATGCGACATTTTCCTGATTAAATCCTTTCGCGCGGGCAAATGAGGTACCTGTAGGACGTCGCACAGAAAGTACCTCCTTGTGGCGTCTTAAGAAAAGTCTTAACCAGGCTTTACCTGCTGCATCGCCGCCGAACGGATGTTTGATGTTATTTCTTAAAGCTAAATTATAAGCCATCCGCCTTAAATCTTTCCTTGTCAACCCGTAAAATTTTGCTTCCATCTTTAAAATATAATGAACTAATTCATTTTCTATGTCATTACCTAATACAGATTTACGCCCTAATTTTATTTGTGCAGCTTCACTTGGATTGAGTTCGATCTTTTTTGCAGATCGTTGCAAAGTAGATCGAGGCACATTAAAGATTTTTGAAGCTTTAAGGGTACCCATTTCGTGTCGTCGAACAGCTATAATGGCACGCTCCATATTGCTCTCGTCCCATTGCTTTCTTTTTTTTTCTTCTTTCCTAGGCATTCTGAAAGAAATATTTATTTGTGAACAACAGATAATTCACATCGGTTCTAAATATGGGCCGGTGGCCCATAATGAAAGCAATGGGGTAGCCCGTATTAGAAAATTTCAAGGTCTATGCATCAAATAAAATTGTGTTCAAATGACACTATCTGGAAGAAATACACATGCACACTTTAAAGGCTTATTAGTCAGTTACTAGTTAGTCCAGAAATTGACTTGAAGACACTGATAATTTTCGTGCAATAAACAAAATAAACTTACCTGATAAAGTTTAGTGACTCACGAAAACTCTTACAAACGTTAAACTCTATTTTACCGACGGGTAATAAAAGCGCCATCTACATTATAAAAGTCTAACATCGCCATCTAAGGTTTGCAATAGTTTTTTACAGAAAACAACATGAGATAGCCGAGAAACCTACATAGCCCATATTACTAACCCTAGCCCAGATTTAGCGACTTTCCTCTACATTCTTCGCAATTTTTTACGTGCCTTTTTACCATTTTTGACATATTTTTCCACACATATTTTTATTTTAATTTATTTAGAGTTCGTTTTACACCTGTGTGAGCTCCTATTAGTGAATTATGATTGCAGGTTACTGCAATATGGGTGGTTCGATTAATTTTTTCTTTAAAATATTAAATGCTTTGTCGCATTCTGACGTCCAATTAAATGCCTAATTTTTTCTTAATTTGTTTAGAGGGTATGCTATATCAGCAAAATTTGGTATAAATCTACGATAATAATTTAAAAATGCAATGAATCGTCTAATATCATCCGCATTTTTTGGAATAGGATAATTTTGTACGATTTCGTATTTTTTTAGATCTGGACTAATCCCTTTGTTAGAAATTAAATGACCTAAATAATTCACTTCTCGTTGTAAAAAATTACAATTGGTTGGATTTAATTTTAAATTATATTTTTGACATATTTCAAAAACATTAATAAGGTNACAATTTTGTACGATTTCGTATTTTTTTAGATCTGGACTAATCCCTTTGTTAGAAATTAAATGACCTAAATAATTCACTTCTCGTTGTAAAAAATTACAATTGGTTGGATTTAATTTTAAATTATATTTTTGACATATTTCAAAAACATTAATAAGGTTTGTATTATGATGGCTACATCCAAAAACAATAATATCATCTACATACATAAATGTACTGGTTTTGAAACCGGACATTGCTATTGTAATCATACGAGAAAAACTATCTAATTCTATTTGATGGAAAGAACTAGCTAAGTCTGTTGTAGAAAAGTATTTAGCTCTTCCTAACTGATCTAATATATCTTTGATATTAGGCAGTGAAAATTTATCTTGAATTATTGTTTTATTTAATTGTCTAAACTCTACTACTAATCGCCAATCTTGTTTTCCTGTGCTAGACTACTTTTTTACTACTAATAATGGTGAGTTATATGGACTAATAGAGTGTTCGATTATATCAGTTTTGAGTAATTTATCTACTTGCTTTTCGATTTCGTCCTTTTGTGATTGCGGTAATCTATAATTTTTTATGTATACGGGATTATTATCTGATATTCTGATTTTCTGTTTGTAAAAATTGTTGGCTGAAAGATTATCACCTTTTAAGTAAAAAATGTCATTGTATTCTTTACAAATAGTTTTTACCGTTTCCAACGCATTCATGTCTACATTATTAAATTTCAGTTCCTCGAATAACACGGTTATTCTATGACTAAGCTGCGAATTGTTGTACTCGTTTATCGCTGTTGTACAAATTTCGTAATCTGATAGCGGTTGTGTTTGTAACTTTAGATCGTCAATTACTACATCATTACAAGTCGTATTAATTAATCTTATATGAGGTACACCAAATTTTGAAACTATTGTGTTAGCAATAAAAATTCCGTTTTCTAATTCTTGATTTAAAATTAAAGTATCTTCAGTAAAATATTTATCTATGGGACATACAATTTCTGTCCGCGCTGGTATCTCAATTTTGTTTATACAGGGTAATTTAATTTTTAAAGGAATGATATGTTCTTCGTGATTATAAAAAATACTTAAAGTCCAGGTATTGTAATCGATTTTGCAGTTAAATTTTGACAAAAAATCTCTACCTATTATACCATCTGTTAAAATTGGAAAATCACCACTTACTAAATGAAATTCGTGTTTTAGTTTAGTTTGTTTATTTATGTATAAATTAGTCATAGTGGTGCCAAAAGTTTCAGTTTTGTTCTTTGTTATGCCACCTATCTGACATTTAGTTTTGGGATTGTATGTTTGATGAGAATTTACGCAAGGTGTTTTGCAAAGACTAATGTCTGCTCCGGTATCTATTAGAAAAGTTGTCAGTTTGCCTGTCATTTCGCAAAATATCTCGATATAATTTGTGTTACCGGTAGTTAGAAATATTAGTTTTCTGTTATCATATTCAACTCCCTCACAGCTCTCTGATTTGATCGAGAGAGTTGGTCTTGACAGTTTTCCGACGGTTCAACGTATTGTGTGTATATATACCGAGTATTACGACGGTATGATTGTCGACAACTTGTGTATTGTCCACGATTAAATTATCTACCTCTGTATGAGTTATTGCTATTTACGTGCCCTCTAAATTGTTGGTTGTAGTTGTTTTGAGAAACATTATTGAAGTTATTGTTATATTCACTTCTATTTCTAGTATAAGTATTTGATATACTTCGATTACCTCGTATTTGACGATTATTATTTCGATATCCGCGATTAAAAAATTTTTTCCTTTGAACGTGGAAAACATTTTGAGTGTTCTGAGGACTAAATGATTGAGAAAATTCAGCTTCTAATGCTATTTGAACTGCTTCGTTAAATGTTTTGACTCTTGACGATAAAATAACGGCTCTAATATCCTTGTTGAGGCCATTTTAAAATAAATTTAATGAATCTTGATCATTTAATTTTATTATTATTTTACGAGCTTCAATGCCTTGTGATGATATATTTATTTTATTTAAATCCGTAATAAGGGCCTCTATTTCGGATGCGTATATAGAAATTGATTTTGGGCCTTGTTTGACTCTACTTAATTCTGAATGAACTGACGCGAGTGTTTTCATTGGTTTAAAACGATCTGTTATAGTTTTCTTTAGTTCGGCAAAATCTTTAGGATCGCATACAAGAGCATTTTTTGCTTTATTTTTAATTTTTGTTCTTAAAATAAAAGTTAATAGTAATTGTTTATTTGCCTCGTCTTTTAGAGAATCATTGTAATATTCGGCAGTATCGAGAAAATCAATAACTGATCAGGTTCATCGGAAAATTCTGGAATAACATGTGAATCTACTTTAAAGTCAAATTCCATTTTGGTAACTACCTCTTCAGATACGTCTTTTAAATTTGTTTTAACTAAACTAGATGATTGCTCAAATGGCTTAGTACTTGTACTAGGTTCCTTAAGACAAAGTTGTAGTAAATGATTAATTTTGTTATTAGAATCATTTAGTAATGTAATAATTTTTTTTAAGTCATTTATAATTAATTGATCTGCAAGACTAACAGTTTTTCCTATAGAATTATATGTTTCTAATATATTTTGTCTGTAAATTTTTTTATTTGACTTAATTTTTCTAAGAGACTTGATTCTGTGTATATTCTGTTAGGTCCCCCTTTCTTTAAATTTTTGTTAATTATTTCAATTTCTTCTACAATTGTCAGAAGAGATTGGTAGGAAGTCATAAATACAAAAAATGATGGAATCTTATAGCTAAAACTAGAATATAATTGCACTGTTCACTTCACTTTATTCACTGTACTTGATTAACTTGTAAACTCTGTGACGATGTTTGGGTCTGATGAAGATGAAGTCGGTGGTGCTGACCTTGTAGAAGGTAGAAGTTGTAGAAGTTGTAGATTGGTTGTAGAAAATTTTTATCTGCATTTCCATATTGGATGATGTTCTGATTAGAAAACTTCACTTCACTTAATTTAACAGTTTTTTTCTTTTACATTTAAATGTTTTTTCTTTATTTTCATTTAATTTTTTTACATTACTGCTTCTTTTTCAGTTGGTAGTTAAATGATGGAAAGTGCAAAATATAACAGCAGATCACTAGAAGCGATAAAATTACTATTGTTCCGGAAATAATTATCGCTGAACAAATTTGCGGATTAGTGCTACCATTACTTTGGTTCACTATAATTTCTTCCTTTGTATTTTGATTCCCCATTTTGCTTGATTTAAAACTTCACTTGCAAATGCACTACATCCTGGAATCTTCTAATTACTGGAATCTTCTAAAAAATTTTGGGCAGGATTGCCATGTGGATTTAACTTCTTGGGTTTAAGGTATATTTTGATGTTTATTGATAGAGAGTTCGAGTTAAGACTAATTTTATTTTCTATAACTACAATAATGTAAGTTTAGCTGAGTAAGAATAATGTAGGTATTGTCAAAGCTCGGGCGACCGGATCTAGAATCGTTGACCCTTTGCGTATTGCATTTATTGCAAAGTTGCCAGTACAATAGTAACGGAGCTTCAACATGAGCCTTTGGTAATCATAAATGAACAAAAAATATAGGCATTTTAAGTGTGGCGTACTGCGCATGAGCGGTATACAAGGTGCATGCACGAGGTACGAGGGCTTTATGCTCGCCCTTGGTTTCCCGACTGCCTGTATGGAAGGTTGTTGTGAATATCGCTCTCCGCCACCTGACCGTTTTAGTACTGGTTCGTATGTTAGTATATGTGTGTAACTGTGG